GTGACGTAGTGGATCAAATGATCCTCGAGATCAGTGGTTCCGTCATATACCCTCAAGTAGGGTGGCATCTTGAAGGTTTTTGGGGTGGAGTGAGGGGCAGCTTCTTCAGTGTATGGTTGTTCAAAGAACCTTCCCACGTCGCGTTTTAGTAGCAACTTGGGGGCACCGGGGATCTTGTCGACCCTCTCCTGATGTTCCTTCATCTGATCGCAGAGCCCCTTGTTTTCATTTTTCATTTTTTCCATCTTCTTTAGGATGGCTGTTAGCGTGCCATCGTTGGTCTGTGTCTCGACGGGTTCGTTATTTGCTAGTGCAACTTCCGGTTCGCCCACGGCAACAGTGGTATCTACCGTTGGTGTACACCTGATGTTACTTTGTGGTGACCTCTCAACCAAGCCACTCAGAGTGCTTGTTAGCCATCTTTCCAGTAGCTTCTTGACCGCTGAGGGTGTTTCCGTAGCCGCAGATGTGGAAGCTCCCTTTTCGTGCAAGATCGTCAGATCTTCGGATGGGGAAGGTGAGATCTCCGCACCCGATGTGATACTAGGGGTTGCATTCAGGATGCCATCGTCACTGGCCTCGTTGAGAGGGCCAAGGAGATTGGTAGTGACACCCAATATAGCTTTTGATCTTGTGTTATTCTCAGCCATCTTTTGTGTTTGTGTGGTTTAGAGAATGGTAGTTGGTTGTTCTCTAGGTGGATACTATGATTTTGATTCTCGAAATCCCTACAGACGGCGCCAAATTGTTTGGCTCAAAAGTTAACAATATACTTTGTAAGCTAGAAAACAATCAAAAGTAAGAAAAGGGTAAATCGTAATCAAATATAATAAACCTAGAGATGTAAAGATGATGTTATTGTTGTAGATCTAGTATTGCAAAGTGATAATATGAACTCAATAGAATATGTTCGTTTGAGGTAGAGTAGAGAGAGAAAGCCAGAAAATGAGAGAGTTGTATTTTCCCCCTTTACAATGTGAAGGTCTCCTTTATATAATAAGAGACCTTCCTCGAAAGAATTAAAAAGTTACAGAGACAGGTAACGTCTCCCTAGTGAAGACACTGAGTCCTAAACGATGTCGCTTTTGTCCCCACGTCCGAGTCGTACCCGCTACGTTAGTCGGCGTACACTCACTGGGCGTACCCACTGGCGTAGAGATGCTGACGGTCAAATTTGACCCTATACAAGAACCAACAAGGGTTGCGGTGGAGTGGTAAGTACTCCTTCATCCTTAGCCAGAGGTCTCGAGTTCGAGCCCCTGGGTATGGAGTCTCCTTTGTTAGTGAGCGCTTTACCTCTCAATGTGGGACTCTCCGGCACGAATCCGAATTTAGTCGCGCCCCAATATGGGTACCGAACACCGGATGGGAAAAAAAAAAGAAAAAAAAGAGTGGATGAGAGAAGAATACACATAAATGATGGGGTCAAAAGAAACATACATAGATGGGGTACACAGAGAATGGCCATGGGAAGCAAATCTTAAAAGGAAATCAAAAGAAATTGGCCTCTCTTTGCACACTACTCCCCCACCTGCTCAAGATATGGTAAGTGCACATGATTTCACACTAGGAACAAAGGCACCATTGCTTATCTCACCTGTATCTTTTTGTAGGATTTGTGGGTCCCATCCCCCCCCCCCCCCCCCCCATGCCACCATGAAAGAACCCTCCATTTTCCTTCCCAATCCCTATAGTTAGTTAGTTTTCCCTTCTTACTTTCACGCACATATATATGTATGTGTAGCTATTGATTTCTCCCTTCTGTAATTGCTTTCTTATTATAGGTAGTAAAATCCAACTTTCAAGAAATCCTCAAATACTTTTTCTATTTTTATACTCTAATTTACCTGTTTTTCTTTCTCCATTGCTTGTCTTATAATCTTTGGGATGAAATCTGGTCAGATCTTGCTTTGTTTGTTGTGGAATTTGGTAGGACTTATTTCATTACAAAGCCAAACCTCCCCTACTCTTCTTCCTTCCTCATACTCATAACAGAAAGATAGACAAAGAAAAAAACACACCACAACCAATACAATTACAAACAAACCAATCCACCAAGGAATTAAGTAAAAATCCAAACTTTTCTCCTCAAAAGAATTAGGAGCAATGGGAATGGTAGCTGCTGAGCAACAGTTTCATGTCTTAGCTGTAGATGATAGCTTGATTGATAGTACTCATTGAGAGGCTCTTTAGAACCTCTGCTTGCCAAGGTAATCTTTTTAGTTTTCTGGTTTCCTATGTTACTCGGACTCTTCGAAAATATCGCGATGTGTGTGTCAGATCCTCCAAAAGTAGTTATTTTTGGACGATCCGCGCAACATAGTTGGTTTCTATTTCCATTTATTTTTCTGGCCAAAGGGATTCCAAGATAACATTTTTATTGATTTTCTACTGTGTGCATCTGCATTTATTTATAATTATAATGGCAGTTACTACTGTGGATTCTGGAAGTAAAGCTTTAGAATATTTGGGGTTTCAAGTAAATGACCACAATCACCCAAATCCACCTTGTGTTTCTCCACATAACCATCAGGTAATGTTCATTTTCCCACTTCACTTACTTTCTTGTACTGACTTCTTGTATTTTTCCAGAATTATTCCCTTTTTTGTTTCTTGGATTTTCCACTGGTTTTTCCTGAAAGTTTAAAAAAAAGTTAAATCTTTTTTGTTCTCTGGAATTTGCAGGAAGTGGAAATAAATCTTATTATCACAGACTTCTGTATGCCTGGTATGACAGGCTATGATTTGCTCAAGAAAATTAAGGTATGCTTTAAAGTTTCTTCTTTTTTCCTCTCTTGCTGCCATATTACTCTTTCATCTGAATTGTACATCATTTTTCTTTCTTGGTAATATACTTTAGGACATAAATTTTTCCCATTAAATTGTTTGTGGCATTCCCATTAGCCATATGGGTCCTTTTCTCACCTTTCAATTTTGAGATCAGTTGAGAATCTTGTTAGGAAATCTATCCCACCTGTATGTGTACTAGCAAAGTTGAGAAAGGAGTCTTGGCATATCTGGTAAAGTTGCTGCCAGGTGACTAGGAAGTCACGTTCGAGTCGTGAAAATAGCTTCTTGCAGAAATGCAGGATAAGACTCTATACAATAGACCTTGTGGTCCGGTCCCGCACGTACGATTTTTAGGGGGATCTGGTCAAAAAACCGGCCAGCCCTTCCCTAAACCCCGCGCATAGCGGAAGTTTAGTGCACCAGACGCGTTTCCCATCCCACCTGTATGTGTACTGCATAATTAGATGTTGAAAGGACATGTGCCTATGGTTTTATGTCTTTCTTTTTTTGGACCCCTGCTGAAATAACTTTTCCTTTTACTAGATTCTTTTGCCAATCAATTTATCTATTTTTTTGTGATAGGAATCTTCATCATTTAGAAACATTCCAGTAGTCATTATGTCATCTGAGAACGTTCCTTCAAGAATCAATAGGTAAATACTAACAAGCACAATGTTACCTTAATTTTAGTTTCTTGAAGATTATTGGATAAAGAATAAAGGGTTAATAATATTTTCTGACTGATTCATCAGATGCTTAGAAGAAGGAGCAGAAGAATTTTTCTTGAAACCAGTCAGATTATCAGATGTCAATAAGCTTAAACCCCATATGTTGAAAACCAAGTGCAAAAGCTTTCATGAACCTGAGAAAATTGTCACAAAGGAAAATCAAGAATCACCAGAAATTGAAAAAGTTCCATCAGAAGAATCACAGCCACAGCCAAAAACAGAATTGGACACAGAACAAATACAGCAAATTCAAGGCAATAATAATAAGAGGAAGTCCATTGAAGAAGGTCTATCTCCAGAGAGAACAAGGCCGAGATACAGTGGCCTAACTACTGTCTGACCTCATGATCGACGCAAATATAATTTAATTTCCTTTTGTTTTTTTAGTTAGATAACTTTCTCCAATTTTGTTTGCTAACCTAAGAGGTGAATAGATCTTTTTATTGTAGATAGAAATGTGTTCGTTTTTCTTCTTGTAAATTAATGGAGAAGCATTTATTTAATATACAAAAGTGGTGTTTTTGTTAACGCTTAAAAATTTTGTTAAACCTAAGTTTTCCGTTTTGGTAAATCATACTCTATTTTTGTCCGTTTTGGCAAATCGTTTGTTCTTTCTTTTTCAAGTTAGTGGAATTTGATCAATATTTGAAAATTTTTAAATTGAAAACCAACCCTTTTTACTTCCCTAAAATTCAAAGAAAGATTTTATCTCGTTGAAATTCTAATGATTTTAGCAGTTTTTAAGCATTCGAAAGATTGTCAATAAATCTCACATTAATCTCATCTTTATTGTTTGTGATTCAAAATTTAAGGGCATTCTTAACAAATTAAAAATCTTGTGATGGAGCTAGTATCTGTAAATATTACTTAGAAAATAAATAAAAAAACTCTTTTGATATTGTAATATCGTTTATACCTTTGTGTTAAACTAACGCTAACCATAAACTCACTAATTTTGTCACAAATTTATTCAATCAATCTCAAGGAAATAGAGCAAACAAATAAATATACTCATCTTATTCCGTTAAGATGAAAGTAGCTCTATCTTTAATGTATATTATTAGTTGGGCATTGTGACTCTCGATCAAATAACACTATAATTTTGAAATTTCATACAATTAAATTTGTATGAAATCAAGTTGGATAAAGCAAGGAGAGAAACGTCTCTGAAAACAAAAAGTTATAGGATCCTTTGAAGTTTGGAAATAATAAATAAATTAAGTCGCCTTGTTCACTCTCCCATCCTTGCTCGTAGCCATTTTAGAAAAAATGCACCAATAATAGAATTTATTCCCCACTAATTTTGGAAATACTCTCCTTGTTAATCTAACAATCAAAGTAATTTAAATATTCGACACAAACTAACTTTTCACCTTTGGCTAATTTAAAGGTTTAAAATTGCTCAAGAACATATTCAAGGGACTAATTTAAACCTATATCAAACATAATGGGCCATTTTTGTATTTTATCGAGAATCTGGTGTCGGAACAAACTTTGCAAAAGGAAGAAAACGGAATCTGGAGTTCTATTTGGCTCCGTCAGCGAGTTGATTTCCCGGCCAACTGATAACGAGGAAGGTAATTTTGCCCTAGAGTTCCTTCTTTTTCTATCTTCATTTAAGAAAATGGCTCTTTTTATGTTTAACTAATTTTGGTTTAATTATTTTATGCAATCCTTGGGTGATTGCCCTGTAAACATTAAAGGTCAGGTCTTTGTTATGTGAATCTATTTTATGTGATGTGATACTGATCCAACTCTTTATGTTATCTGCATGAATTTTGAGTTATCTCTGTGCTATATATTTATTGCTTGGTAGGCTATAAATTACTAAGTTTTTGTCCTTTTTTCACGTTCATCTGTGGTTAATTTGTAATTTTTGCAAAACCAAAAATCTTAGACTAAATAATTAAGAATGAAGTAAAACTAGAACTTCGAATCACGTTCCATACCTGATACCCCTGTGTCCCAAAGATAAAGATCCTAGCTTGTTATCGGCTGCGGGTTTTGAATACTTATATAGGAGGGAGGACGTTCACTTTATGTGGCAAATGGCGAGTGGAAGGCTATTTTTGCACAATCTCCCGTTGTCTTCCTATAATTGTGAGCTATTTTCTGTTCCGGTTGTGTTGTTCTTGGTTGCTCGGGTTGTATGATGTAAAAGCAACTTGATGTTGATTTCTGTATAGTTTTTGAAGGGCATACTAATCCAAGGAAAACTTGACATGTCTTAATTTGGAAAAACTGATAGTTTGGTAGTTGAACTTTTAAGGTGATTAGTAATGCAAGGAGCTGAGCAAGAGCAATGGACGTTTTTAGTTTTATTTACTAGAAGACAGCTTCTACCTATGCTAAATATTACGGTTAGATTGGTGCCCATTTTCTATATTTGATTGATGGAACAAGATGGTTTTAGGTGTCTTCCTTTTTGTTCTGTTTTAGGCTATGGAGTAGGAAACAGGTAGTTGTGCTCAATACTTTTCATGCAAGTCTTTTTTCTCCTGATTTTTTTTGTTCAAACTACATGCTTTTGCCTCCAGCATCATTCATAGGGAAAGCGGAAGTTCAAAGTAAAGATCGAAGCTTTCACGTGGTGTCTTGTTCTTAAAGCAGTGACTGTAAATGACATGTTTTTCTTTTTCTTTTTGAGCATGAATCTCTTGTTATGCATAAGTAGGCTGAAGAACACTATGGTGAAAATTGTAATTCCTTTTTATGGTCTCCCTGTTGCACTAGGTTCTGGTGAACTGTTCTTTGTATTACTTTATTAAATTGCTAGAAAGAAATTTTTTGCTATTTTAGTTAATAGGCCATGTATTTAGAACAAACTAAAATAGGGAGCTAGTCGATATAAAAGGATACACGGAATATAATGGACAAATGTCAGACTGGTAATACCAAATGCTTCTGGAAGTTCCTTATCGACTCTCTCAACTTTCACAACCTGTATTTTGATGTAGTTGACTAATACTATAGCATTATATGTCCTTCGCAAGAATATTTATTCCTTTAATTAAAATTCTCTTTTTAGGGTGCTTTGTAATTTGTCGCAGGACAAAATAGATTTTAATTTATGTTTTGTTATGTGTAGGCTGATCAAACTCTTCTTCGCCAAGTCTTGTCAACACGGATCGCATCGAGGTTCTACTGAGTGCATTGCACATTGGAAGATTGGAAAATGTCTAGTGGGGAGGTTAAAAAAGTCTCGCGTCAAGATATTCAACTGGTGAGTCTTGAGCTGCATTCATAACATTATATCTAAAGATTGGACGTCAAGATCATTTAATAGGGCCTGAATCAACTGGACAAAATGGAGCATATACATCTATTTGTTAGTGTGTGAAGCTGGTAGTTGATTGACCCGTGTGGAATTTTGTACTTAAAATTCTTTTACGTGACATCCAATTAAGATATCTTAATCCTTCAAAACGTTGTGCCTTACCACTCATATCCACATAATTGTATTTTTCAGTTACGGAGAGTCCAAGTCCAATAAAAAAAATTAGAGAGTCCAAGTGAACAAGGCTTGTTATATAAGCAGAGTCTACAGTGAACAACTGAGGTTGGTACTTGAACTTGTCAACCTAATTGGCTTTAGTCTGAACGCCAAGGAGGTGTCATGTTTGCACATCTAGATTGTGTTGGTCACGCTTGTTGTCATGGGTAATAGGTAATAACCAGAGCATTGCTGGTAGAAATCATTTAGAATGGTACTGTCTAGGTCAATTATGCATCTCCGTCTTAACCTGAATCATCCGCATGTAAGAGCACCGGATGACCATTTTCTAGTTGTTACTGATCACATACAATCAATGAGGTGATATGAAGGGATTATATTTTGACATCCACATAATTGGTGAATTCAGCATTACTATTATAATTCTGGGCCCTTTTTTTTATCAAAGACTTCCATGGATAATTCTGAATAATTTTGAGATGGAGGATGCTGCTCTTCTGTTTTACCAAATTAATAAACCTTAGCTTCATAATGTATGCGTAGTATTGGTGGTCACAGCTGGCAAAGCACTTTCTATCAATCATTATTGCATGACATAAGAAAGATTTTGAAGCAATATGGAAAAGAAAGGCAAGTTTAGTAAACACAATTCACTGATGAATGGGTCTTTTAACTTCTGCATTTGAAGAGATAAACAACTACGTCTATTTACTTGCTAAATCACGTTTTCTAAATTCTTAGGCAAACTTACATAGAGAATTGTACTGCAATCACTTGCAACCCCCACCCACAACTCCCCCAAACAAACCCCCAAAAAAGGAGGACCTATCCAGTGGGGGATCATATATTTCCAGCTTTTAAAGGGTAACAGGCTTCTGAGTGGAGATGTAGAGTTTTACATGCTAGGTCTCAATGTGGTTGATTACATCCAAATCTCTTGTAGGTTTCTCCAGCTCGACATTTAGTGCTTCACAGTTGTTGACCTACAGATATTGTTGCTTTTTGGCTGTTCTTTTTTTTTTTCTCTGTGTTTAACTGGTGATAATTTAACCCTTGGGTTTCTTAAATTGTTTGCATCGTACAAGCTCTTGCCTCTCCTTAAGCTTTGTTTCTCCCCTGTCAGGTGCAAAATCTCATAGAAAGATGCTTACAGCTTTACATGAACCAGAAGGAAGTTACCACTACCCTCTTACATCAGGCAAAGATTGAGCCTGGTTTCACTGAACTTGGTAATTCCTTTCTCCTTTCATCTGGTTTCTTCTTTTGCTAATATGAAGCTTTTGGAGAGTGGACTATTTATTGGTATTTTCAGTTTCTAGAAGAGAAAATACTTTGTAGGTGTCTGGACATTACTTCATTTGCAAATAATGAAATATTATTTTCAAATTGGTGTTTGTTTTACAATTTTGTTCATTATTTCAACTTCAACTTGAAATATAAAATTTGAAATTGAAAAACCAGTTTTGAGTATTTCAAGCGAACTTCTCGTACCTATATTTCATGGAAAAATTAGTAATATGTGGAAAATAAATTTTAATTCAGAGTGCCGGAAATGAATTTACTGAAATTTAGACAATTTAAGGATTCTGCTGAGTCTTTCATTAGTTAATATTTGTAAACAACGTCATTCTCAAAAAAAAAACTGTAAATAACGTTTTTATCTATGTGCTCCATGTCTATCTACATGAAAGAGATGAATGTGATCTTGAACTTTTTCCAGTGTGGCAAAAGCTTGAAGAAGAAAACCAGGAATTTTTCCAGGCATATTATTTGAGGTTGATAGTGAAGGACCAAATACAAAGATTCAATGAATTGCTTCACAGACAGCTTGAAACAATGCAGATATATCGAGCTGGTTCCAATGCCATTTCTAATGGTTCGCAGATTCGACCAAGTAAGATATAACTAGCGGAGATTCTTCTATTGACCTTCCTGGAGATCATTGTTTTGTTTGAATCTCTTTCATTTGTATTGTGAAATTCATAATGGTTTCACTCCTACACCCAACACATTCTTCAACCATTCTTCTTGCTCATGTCTTTAGTTAGTTTTTGCCCTTAAAATTGTCTGAGTATATCTTTGTTAGTAAAACTTTAAAATGGACAGTCATGGGAATGATCTGACCGAGATCATTTTAGTGAAGACAAAATATTGTAGTTATATGATGTGGAATTCCCCGCACAATTATATATATCTTACATGAAACCAAGAGCATCCCATCATCAAAACTGATTGGAATATATTGGATGAACTATGCTTTTCTCTTTTCTTTTTTGATTGTTTACCTTGGTCTCTATTTCCCGTGAGCAATTTTTTCAACTGCTGGTGCGACACTGCTAACACAATATTGTACATGCTTATACACTTGGTGCCTATCTTAATGTTTCAATCTAGCTTTCATCATCTTCTGATGAATCGTTAAATAAGGGAAGTGACGTTATGGTTGTTAAATATTGGTAGTGCCTCAGAACTCAACATGTCAAGTGATAGAACATGCTGGACCCAATGTGAAGCCTGAGAACATGAACCGGACTGCTAATGCCAATTTACCTCATGCATACACTAATGGTGCGTCCTCACTTCAGCCATGTATGCAAGCTGCTGTTGATATGTCTGCTAATGGAAGAGGAATTGATGCATCGGCAAACATGCTATTGGCTCAGAGCTCAAATGTCGGAGTAATGCAAGGACAGAATGGGGGGATGATCAAATCAGAAGTGCTTTATTCAGGCAATCTGCCGTTCCTCTATGGTACAGAGAGCAATATTATTGAAGCTCGTCCAGAAACTGGGGATGCATCTGGTTCATCTTTCAGCAGCGGAGAATCAAACTCTCAAGTGCTGAATGAGTCTGTATTGGATGCTGATTCAACTTCGTTTGGGTTCTTGGGGCATATTCCATGAACTTCAGTTTGTCAGATTTAACAGCAGATTTTTCCAACAGTTCTGGTTTGTGCCTGCCTTATCTTCTGAGTTAATATATCACTGTGCAGAGCTTTATCTTTCTCATATCTGCTCTTACAGATATAATGGAGAGCTACTCTGGATCGGCCTTCCTAGCAACAGATACTGGCAATTTCCTGGATCCTCATGGTAGTGAAGAAAATCAAGGTTGTCTGGCATCTCAATTCTGGTATTCTCTTTTTATGGTTAATTTGGAAAGAAAGTCTCACTACTCAATAGCTCTCTCTGTCTTCTTTCGGCACATATCAATATGAAACAGAACAATGTCATTTCTTTACATACCAAATATAAGGGATTGTTAGAAGAAAGCCCGTATATTGGATTTATAGGTTGGGTGCTTGTTTTAGGTCATAAAGTGCTCACGTGAAGCAGCAAAAGAGATGAACTTTGAAGATGTGTTATGGATACCTACCAATAATGATATCTACTTAAGTTTCTGCAGATATCAAGAGATTGGATGCTATATCAGAAGGCTTGAGTTACGATGATTTTGCCAGCGATTGAGTGAACTTTCATTCAGATGGTACCATCTTGCAACTATATCCTCAATATGTAAACTACCATGTTTAGAAATATAGTTTGCACCTATACTCCAGCTTAATGTCCTAACCTGAGCAACTTTTTTCTTTGTATAGTATTTGTTGGGTTAACTCCTATGATCACATTTTATTTAGTTTGAATGATTTCTATCCTTGCAGGTCCAATTATTCCAGTACAATGTTCTGTAAGTACGATCATGAAAGTGGAAATGCTTCGACCCCTTTTTGAAGGCATTGGTTGGTTTCAGTCAAGGTTATAACTCAATCGATATGGTTGATCATGCATGGGGTATGAGGAGTAGGAAATAATATAATGTAAGAAGTTGTGCAAAATGAGGTTAGTCATAGAAATTAGAAACAAAGGATATTATGATGTATAAGTTGTAAATAGGGCTGTGATTGTGATGTAATGTGTAGTCAAGAATACTTGAACTTTTGTTTTCTTTTCCCTTTTAATTTTATCGTTCTGGTGTGAAAAAAAAAAGGGGGGGGGGGGGGGGTGGGGGGTAAGGG